AGGAAGGAAGGAAGGAAGGAAGGAAGGAAGGAAGGAAGGAAGGAAGGAGAAGAGAAGAAACTCTACCATAAGGGGAGGGGTGGAAAGGGAGACTTTATACAAAAACTAACAAAATAAATAAACAAGATATTTTTAAAAATGTGTAGAAAAAAGACACAAACATATTCACCATCCCCGCTAGTTGGGTACTGATAAATATATTGCAGCAATATTAATTTTCTATCTCCTGCAGAGCAGATCCTCCTTCTCTTACTCTCCTCCTCCTCCTCCTCCTCTCCAGCTGCTTTTCTTTCTCTCTTCCCCCTCCCTCCTCCTCCTCCTCTTTCCCCTTCTTCTTTTCTTCCCCTTTTCTCCTCCTCCTCTCCACAAACTGCACCCCCTTCTAACACTGATGACGCTACCTAGTTGGCTCATGAAATGTCTGCCAGAGGAGCACCAAGGACCCCACAGTCCTCCTCCCCCTCATCTTTCTCCTTCTCCTTTTGCTTCCCCCTCCCCCTTCCTCCTCCTCTCCACAAATCGCATTCCCCTGTAAAACTGATGACGCTCCCTAGTTGGGTCATGAAATGTCTACAAGAAAACAATCTCACAGAGCACCAAGGATCCCACGGTCCCGCTCCTCCTCCCCTCTGCAAACTCCCCTTCGTTCTAGCACTGATGATGTTACCTAGTTGGGTCATGAAACGTCTTGCAAGAAAACCACCAAGCTTAGAGAGCATTAAGGACCCCACAGTCTTCCTCCTCCTCTTCACAAACCTTACCCCCTTCTAGCACTGATGATGTTCCCTAGTTGGGTCATTAAACGTCTGCAAGAAAGCAACCAAGCTTAGAGACCATTAAGGACCCCACAGTCTTCCTCCTCCTCCTCCTCCTCCTCCTCCTCTTCTTCTTCCTGTCCACAAACCTTATCCCCTTCTAGCACTGATGATGTTCCCTAGTTGGGTCATGAAACGTCTGCAAGAAAGCAACCAAGCTCAGAGAACACCAAGGACCCCACCGTTCTCCTCCTCCTCCTCCTCCTCCCCCCTTACCGGTTTCATGATCCAGGTGATGCCGGGATTTTTCCGAAACTCCTCCACAAACAGGTGATACTCGGAGGGCATCTCAAAGGTCTTGGGGAAGAAGTCACACTTCATGGCCTCCAGCTTCCCGGATTCCCTCTCCAGCTGTTTCCGGAGGCGCTTGAGGTTTTTCACGGTGTAGTTTTTCCGAGTCAGCTGCCCAGGGCGAGAAGGGTAGGAGAACGTCGTCAGCCAAGGGTGCCCCGGATCAGGCCCCTGGATGCCTCCCTTGGCTCAGAATTGGCCCTCAGAGGAAGCTCCTCCAACACCATCTAGGCCTCCATTTGGGAAAGAGGTTCTACCAGGGCACAAGGGCTCTCCCACCAAGCTATCATCCCGCGTCAGAAGAGGAGGTCAAGACAGTGTGATGACCCAAAGGGGCGTGGCACAAAAGCAAGTCACAAAAGTAGGTAAAGTCCCTTTAATACCTCCAACCTGGCCTCCAATGTCCAGTTATCTTCGACTGGAGAAAAAACTCTCCCAAGAACAGTCTTTAAAGGGAAGAAATTCAGTCTGAACCCAAAGTACATATAAAATTATAAATTAAAACCAAGACAAGCCACACTGCAGCAATTCATGAGACAGGGCAGGATAAGGAATTGCAGACTTCAAAACACACACAGTTGGGAGGATGCCAGAACCCAGATAAGACTTGACAAACAATGCACGCTTTGCTTCCAGCAAGGTGCTGTGCGAAAACGCCCTTTTTAAGTCCTATTTTCCCAGCTGCAGCTAATGAAGGGAATCAGGGCCCTTTTCTCCCCCGTAAGCCACTTTGCTCCCTTCTCCGTTCCTCCCTGTGTGCCCGAGGATGAAGAGGTGGTGGTCCTGGGTCTTCCTCTGAATGCCCAGCCGGACTGTGCCCTTCCCCAGTTTCCTCCACAGCCATCAGAGCCACGGACTCCCACAGGACAAGAAGGCAGGACAAGAAGCAATGAATGGAAACTAACCAAGGTGAGAAGCAACCTGGAATTCAGGCAAAAAAATTCCTGACAGTGAGAACAATTAACTTGCCATCAAAAGTTGTGGGTGCTCCATCCCTGGAGGCTTTCAAGAGGAGACTGGGCAGCCCCTAGTCTGAAATGGTATAGGGTCTCCTGCCTTGGGCAGGGGGTTGGACTAGAAGACCTCTAAGGTCCCTTCCTACTCTATTTTTTATTACATACAGCATAGCATCAGTTGCTGAAGGAGGTCATGATGGACGTAGCCTTCCAAGACACCCCTAAGGAACCATGTCCTGGATATTTTGGACCAACCTGCTCACCTGTCACCTGCCCCAACCTTCTCCCTGCACAGGTTTGCCCACCTCGTAATGGTTGCGGAAGTGGCTGATGCGGACGTGCTCGTCCATGTAGGTGTGGTCGAAGTTCTCCTGCAGCCACCGGACGTCGCACCAATAGAAGTCCCACTCGCCCTCGCTGGGGATGAAGGCCAAACAGAGAGGGGGGGGGTGTCAGCCAGCAGGTCCTTTAGCTTTATCAAGGTGGTTGCGACCCACCCCCAGACACCCAAAATCTTCATCACCTTCTTCATTTAACGACCCCATAATCCCTTGTGGGGTGGAGTCTGGGCAATTGAATGGAGCTAGCAGAGTGTTCTTTTAATGGCCGGATGCTCTTCCTGTCACCAACGTGGAGTTTTGTTCAACAGATATACTCTCAGTGTGGCTGTCAGGGTTCCGACGGAGGCCCTAATTAAACCATGACCCCCCGAGCCAAGTTTCAAAAAAAAAATCCAGTTATTTATGAGGAGCAACATGTCGGCACATACCCAAAGGTAGTCAGCTCTGCCTCACGTCATTTACGGCCCACCTACGACCCTGTTTCACCCCTCCACCCCCAGGGTGTGTCATAAACCACATTCTCCAACCGGAGCACTTTCCTGGGAGGTAGAGATCACGCCTCTTCAATCGGTCCCGGTAGCCTGGGATACAGCCTTGAAGAAGGTATGTGTGGAATGTGCTTCTAGCCCCTGTGATGGCGAACCTATGGCACGCGTGCCACAGGTGGCACACAGAGCCAGTTGTGCCGGCACGCGAGCTGCAGGCAAAGTTACCTCACTGCGCATGCGTGCGCCTCACAGCTGATTTTCAGCAGGTTTGAGGCCTTTTTCGGCCTCCCAGAGGCTTGAGGTAGGTTTCTGCAGGCTTCTGCAGGCCGAAAACTAGGCCCATTTCGTCACTTCCGGTATTTCCGAGAATACCGGAAGTGACGAAATGGGCCTAGTTTTCGGCCTCCAAAGCCTGCAGAAGCCTTCCTCAAGCCTCTGGGAAGCCGAAAAAGGCCTCAAACCGGCCGAAAATTAGCTGTGAGGTGCAGTGCAGGTAAGGGGGCGGCGGGGTGGGTGGGGTGGGGATGGCGCATGCATGTATAGGGGGTGGGGGGTGGGTGGTTTCGCGCATTGCCTTCTGGAGGCTGGCACGCAAGCGTAAGCGTGCAAGCGCGCGCGCACAATTTTTAGCACAAGAGCCCAAAAAGGTCAGCCACCACTGTTCGAGCCTCTACCTAGGATTGAACTCACATCCTCCTGATTGTGAGGCAAGAGCTCCACCTTCAGGCCACTGCACCACCCCAGACACCCAAAGTGTTGTTCTAAAAATGCTACAGGCCCCAGAACCTCCCAGCATGTGCTGATGGGGGAACCCCAGAAGTGTGAGAAAGCATCATTATAGGGGGACTGGGTTTTTTTTTTTTTTTTGAAACAAGGAGCCGAGGCGAGAGAATTCTGGGAGTTGAAGTCCACAACACGCATCGTCAAGCCCAGGCTGATGTCCAAAGGCAGAGGGGTTTGCATTGGCTGTGATTTCTAGAATGCCAATATTGATAAGCCCAGCGTTGTTTAAAATGTACACCTAAAGCAAAATGGGGCATTAATAAGCAACTGGGAAGTATATTCCATTTTTATTAGCAGGTGGCGGTGGGGCTCAACTCCCAGCACGAGAAAGTGAGGGCTTCGTGGTTTTCTTGCAGGCATTTCACAACCCAGCTAGGCAGTATCATCAATTTTGGAAGGGAGTGGGATTTGCAGGGAGGAGGAAGGGAGGAGGAGGAGGAGGAGGAGGAGGAGGAGGACAAAGACTGTGGGCTTCTTGATGCTCTCTCTTGCAGACATTTCATGACCCAACCAGGTAACATCATCAGTGCTAAAAGGAGTGGGTTTGTTCCCTGTTTATACACCAGAGGCTTTAAATATAAACAGAGAGCAAACCCACTTCCTTCCAGGCCTGATGATGTTACCTACTTGGGTAATGAAATGTCTGCAACAAAACAACCAAGCTCAGAGACCAACAAGGACCCCACAGTTCTCCTCCTCCTCCTCCTCTTCCTCCTCCTCCTCCTCCTCGTCCCTGCCTCCCAAACCACTCCCTTCTAGCACTGATGAAGTTACCAAGATGGGTAATGAAATGTCTGCATAACACCAAGCTCAGAGACCAGCAAGGACCCCATAGTTCTGCCCCTCCCTCTCCCTCCCTCCCTCCCTAACCCCCCTTCCTTCTAGCATTGATGATGTTACCTACTTGGGCCATGAAATGTCTGCAAGAAAACCACTAAGCCCAGAGAGCACCAGGGACCTCTCATTTGAACCCTAAGCTACAAAATAATCTCCTCTGTCGCAGGAATCTCCTAAACTTTGATCCAAAGGAGCATTTGTCTGAAGTGGTGTAGGGTGTCCTGCCTAGGCAGGGGGTTGGACTTGAAGACCTCTAATGTCCCTTCCAACTCTGTTATTCTACTCTATTCTAGCTCTAATCCCTGGTTTCAGACCTTGTTGATGACCCCCACTATGTCAAGGACCTTGGAGTACTCATCTCTAATGATCTAAGTGCTAGAGCCCACTGTAACTACATAGCCAAAAAGGCATTAAGAGTTGTTAACCTAATCCTACATAGCTTTTTCTCTGGTAATATCACACTACTAACTAGAGCAGACAAAACATTTGCTAGACCAATACTTGAATACAGCTCATCAGTCTGGAACCCACATTACGTATCTGATATTAGCACAATTGAGAAAGTCCAGAAATATTTCACAAGAGTTCTCCACTCCTCTACTCGTTGTAGAATACCTTATGCTACCAGACTTGAAATTCTAAAACTAGAAAACCTCGAATTACGCCGTCTTCGGTCCGACTTAAGCATGGTATATAAAATCATACATTGCAATGTCCTACCTGTCAATGAATACTTCAGCTTCAACCATAACAACACAAGAGCACACAATAGATACAAACTCAAGGTAAACTGCACCAAACTTGATTGCAGGAAATACGACTTCAGCAACCGAGGGGTCAATGTCTGGAATACTCTACCTGACTCTGTGGTTTCTTCCCCAAACCCCAAAAACTTTAACCTTAGACTGTCTACTATTGACCTCACCCCTTTCCTAAGAGGTCTGTAAGGGGGCCTGCATAAGCGCACCAACGTGCCTACCGTTCCTGTCCTAATGTTCCCTTTTATCCATTTCATGCGTTCATAATCATGTTTATACTTATACTTGTTATCTAATACTTGCTTGACAAAATAAATACATCAATAAATAAAAACTAACATAAAAATAAACCCCGTTTCAGGGGAATCTCCAGACTTTTCAAGGGGCCCACCAGAAAACAGAAATTCTGTTTTTCCCCCTAACCTTTCATGGAAGGACAGAAAACGTCTTCTCGGGCCCTGCTAGCTGTTATTGTCTCCATCATAAAATATATATATATATATAAATCTCACTCTTTCACTTCCACCCATCCAGGTCGCTGCTGAAGGACGTCTAAGATGGTGTTGGTGAGGGCACACTTGAATCGGATGGAAGCTCGGGGTTCCCTGTTTAAAAAATATTAAATTGAATTAAATTAAATTAAAAATCCCTTTTCTTTCACGAGATAGCAAGCACACTATATAGCAGGGGTCCCCAACCACCGGTCCGCGGACCGGTACCGGTCCGTGGAACAAGTCCTACCGGAAGCGCTGGCGCCGCCATCTTTTTTTGATGAAAAAGTGCTTCCGGTGAGGTCACCGGAAGCACTTTTTCATCAAAAAAAGATGGTGGCGCCCAGCTAATGCCGGTACCGGGCCGCGCCATAAAAAAGGTTGGGGATACCGGGCCGCGGCGTAAAAAAGGTTGGGGATCACTGCTATATAGAATAGAATATAAATCTTTATTGGCCAAGTGTGATTGGACACACAAGGAATTTGTCTTGGTGCAAATGCTCTCAGTGTCCATAAAAGAAAAGATACATTCGTCAAGAGTCAAGAATCATCAGGTACAACACTTAATGATAGTCATAGGGTACAATAAGAATAGAATAGAATAGGAAAGAATAGAATAGAATAGAATAGAATAGAATAGAATAGAATAGAATAG